CTCTGTCTCAAAAAAAAAAAAAAAAAAAGAAAAATAAACAACTCACAAATAGAATATACAAGGAAGGCCAACAAGTCAATTAAAAAATAAAGCAGACCATCCAATAGAAAAAAATGTGCATAAGGCTTACGTCAGTACTTCACAAAGAAGGAATCCAAATGGCCCATAAACATATGAAACAGGTGTACAACCTCATTAAACGTCAGATAAATGCAAATTAAAGCCACAATCCCACTGTGTTCATACAATGGAATACCACATAGCAATGAAAGTGTATAAAATTCAGTGTCATATAACATGAATAAATCTTAAAAGCATTTAAAAAAAAAAAAAACAAGGTTGCACTCTGTCACCCAGGCTGGAGTATAGTGGTGCAATCACTGCAACCTAGAACTTCCAGGCTCAAATGATCTTCCTGCCTTCTGAGTGGCTAGAACTACATGTGTGTGCTACCACAGTTGGCTAAATTTAAAAAATTGTTTTGTAGAGTCAAGGTCTCACTGTGTTGCTTATGCTGGTCTCAAACTCCTGGCCTCAAGTGATCCTCCTGCCTTGGCCTCCCACAGTGCTGGGATTACAGATGTGCATCATTGCACTTAGCCCTAAAAGCACAATATTGAGAGACAGACATAAAGATAACATAAAATGATACAAAACCTATGAATTTCATTTATAGTTCCTCATATATTTCTACTGGGCACTCCTTCATCCAGGAAAGAGAGCCTAGTTCTTCTGTTTTTCAAGTGTACAGACTTAATTCTGATATGAGGACAATTAATGACCTAGTACACAGTGGGGGTGGGGGATGGGGAGAGCAGAGAAAGGGAAGGAGGGAGGGGTAGGAGGGTCACAGGGTGTGGTAGGCAGGACATAAGTATAAGAGGGTCTTTATCTAACAAATGCGATCAATGTAAACTTGTTCTTTGTATCCTCAATGAACCCCAATTTAAAAAAGGAGTGTACAGACTTAAATGGTGAAACTGTAATAAAAGCAAGGAGTGATTACCATGCAAATCAGAATAGCTCTAAAGGGAGAAGGAGCATACTGCAACAGTTTTGTTTTATTTTGTTTGCAGTTTTTGGCTGGGGCTGGGTTTGAACCTGTCACCCCTAGTATATGGGGCTGGCACCCTACTCCTTGAGCCACAGGCACAGCCCTCTTTTTTTTGAAACAGAGTCTCACTGTGTTGCCCTCAGTAGAGTGTTGTGGTGTCACCACAACCTCCCAACTCTTGGGCTTAAGTGATTCTCTTGCCTCAGCCTCCCAAGTAGCTGGGACTTTTGTTGTTGTTGTTGTTGCAGTTGTCATTACTGTTTAGCTGGCCTGGGTTGGGTTTGAACCCTCCAGTCTTGGTGTATGTGGCTGGTGCCCTATCCACTGAGCTATGGGTGCCACCCTACTGGTTCTATTTTTGACCTCAGTGATTTTTACATGAGCACTGACTTAATAATTTGCTAAATGCTTTGTTTTGTTTACTTTTTTTAATGTGTGTTATACTTCACAATTTTATGAAAGTTTGGAAAAATTAAAAATAAAACGGCCAAACCATAAAATCTCTGGCAGCCAACACAGCCAGAGACAAACCTGAATCGAATATAAAAGTCAATTTCTCACTCTTTAATATGTCCTGTGCTCAGAAGGCAAAATGCCTATGGTACAACACTTTTCCAGTCTAAAAGGTCCAAATGGAAAATTGGGAAGGAAAGCACTCCATATTGTCTCTCTTCTATTCTCAATGTAGAAAGAGAAAACAACAATTCCAGCCCAACAGAAGTCCTCAAGGATTCTCTTCCTCAGGTCCTCTAACAGAACATTGCAAAGGCACAACTTACCCAGGTGGTACTGTTGACTGTCCTGAATCGAAGTGTGTATTTTAAATGAGATGAAGAAGGTACCAGCTTGGGCCTTTTCCATTCTATTTGAACCATTCGTTTGATGCCCCAAACTGGTTTCACACTGAGAATCCCAGGTGGTTCAGTTTTTGCTGAAAATAAAAAATCATATAGTTTCCATATTTGCAAAATGATGAAACCATATTAGTAGCATCCACCCAAACTTGGAGAAAAAAACAAGCCTAGAAAGGTAATGACAGTGCATACTTTGTGGTCTGCTATATGCAGATGGCATTTGCAAGGCTGTATAAAAAGAATGCCAGCACTTACCCTAGCTCCTCCAGAAAAAGGAACACCCATGGGAAAAAAAAATACATACCTGTGCTTTTTCTGCAAATCAGCCTATTGGGTCATATCCTATGCCCAGCAGAAGGGAAGTAAAAAGAGACCACACAACCAAAAAATAGGCTGCTTCCCTTATTTACCCTCCCCTCTCCCAAGGTCTCTTTTTTACACTCCCAGGTTGAAGGAATATCTACTTGAAAGCACTTTTCATTTTCCTTGCCCACTGCAAACATTCTAGCCCCACATTTCTCTCTTTGAAAATACGTAATTTTCTGGTTATAAAAGTAGCAGAGAGCTTGGATGCTCACTATTGAAAAATTTTTTAATGTGGAAAAATTAAAAAAAAAAAAAAAACTTAAAATCATCCATAATACCATGAACCAGAGATAACCCTCATTAACATTTTGGCATAATTCTTTGCATATCTTTGAAATAGAATATTATTAAATAGAATAGATATTATTCTAAATAAAGCTTTTTTTTTAAGTAACATTATGCAAAAATCAGCAAATATCCACTGTCATTAAAAATTCTTCAAAACATTAATTTTTAAATCTTCATAATATCCCACCTTAAGATGAATAACTTTTTTTGATCATTGCTTTATTATTGCACATTCATAGTTTTTCAATTTTAATTTAAAGCTCCTTGAGGACAGAAGCTGGTTTTGATCACAGTCCAGAATTAATAAATATTTATCTCTTAGCAAGTATCATATATTTTTTAAGTAGATGAATAAATGGGTGATAGTTGCATCTTTCTCTGCATTTTTGATGCGATGGTTTCATTAGAACCCTTGGGATAGGCTGACTGGGTAAAAGGACATATTTTCTTTTCTTTTTTTTTTTTTTTTGAGACAGAGACTCAAGCTGTCCCCCTGGGCAGAGTGGCATTACAGCTCACAGCAACCTCCAACTCCTGGGCTCAAGCGAGTCTCCTGCCTCTGCCTCCCAAGTAGCTGGGACCACAGGCGCCCGCCACAACGCCCGGCTATTTTTTGGTTGCAGCCGTCATTGTTTTTTGGCAGGTCCGGGCTGGGGATTCGAACCCGCCACCTTAGGTGTACGTGGCTGGCGCCTTAGCCGGTTGAGCTATAGGCGCCGAGCCAAAAGGACATATTTTCAGGGCTGCTGCCACATAGCGCCATTTTGCTTTCCAGAAAGGCTACACCAATTTCAGTTTCCATTAACAGTGTGACTACACATTTCACTTTACCCTTGCTTAACTAGAATTGAATACTATCATCTTTTTAATCTTTGCAATTCCTGAAGAATTTCACAGAGAAAAATCCCTCCTCAGAGTCATGGACTTAAAAACATTAACTGAGTAGAAATATTTGGATATCCTTTGATGGCCACTCAAAACAGAATGTGTACTTATGTTGGAACTAAAGAGTTTCATCAATCTATGTGGCTATTCAGTGGGTAGAACTGTCAACAACAGACATCCGGGAACTCCATAAGATTAATGATACTAATTGAGCACTTGATAAATATTTTTTTTTAGGTAACTCATTTTGTTGACTCCTCTCAACCACCTAACATTTATTATAGAAGATAAACTGAGATTTAAAAACAAAATTTTCTTTGTAGATACAGGGTCTCACTACCTGGCTCAAGCTGGTCTTAAATAACGGGCTCAAGTGATCTTCCAGCCTTAGCCTTCCAAAGTACTGGGATTGCAACCATAAGCCACCACACTTAGCCAAAACTGAGATGTAAAACAATAAAATTACTTTCAATAAGAAGCCAGCCTATGATTCATTTGCATCCACACCAAAGTTCCTGCTCTTACCATTACACTAGACTGCCTCCAGTCAGCCAGTCAGAGTAAACACAAATCCTCATTACAGCTCCATTTAATTCTATAATTCTATCAACAAGGAGATATGAATTATTAATATTTCCTCTGCTTAAAAATGGCTCTAGAATAGCTCATTAAGAATTGACATGTACTGAGCAACAGGTAAGTTCTTATACCCCTAAGGAAACATTTTTTAAAAAGAAAGAAGCTGGCTGAATTAACTTTGTAGAAGCTCTGGATACCAGTCCAAGGTTTTCAGAAACTATAAACACTCAATTAAGAAAAAGTCACCTTCAAAGTGGTAGGAAAAAATTTTGTGGCTGTCTTACTTGCCCTTGCTCCCACCTCCCCCCATGCACATCATGGAGAAGATGGTAGCCCAGTTCCTATCTAGTTCCCTTCTTCCAACTGGAGGAAGCACAGAACAACTTATTTACAATATTCTAACCTATCTAAAGGCAAACTAAAGGACTATTCTCTGTTTCACCTAACCTGAATTTCAGGCAGGAAAAGGAGAGGCACTGCCCATAAACGCTGCAGGGAGATTACAGACCTGCAGAAGCCTGGATCAAGGAATTATAGCTGAAGACAGACAAGAGACTAATAAAGTCCTAAGGAAAAACTGCAGGAGACTCTTTGAAAAATTAAGACATTCAAAAGCAGCTATGTATTCAGGACAATTGAGAAAGCACCAAACAGGCCCAGACAAGATGCATGCTCAGAAAAGACCTGAACTGATTTTAACCTTCCACTTTAGGCTGCTTCCTAGGTTCAGAATAAACCCAGCTAATCTATGAAGGACTGGCCCAGCACAGAGCCATTCTAAAAAGAATAGGAGAGGTGAATATTTTTTCAAATACTCAATTTTCAATAGTAACAAAAATTATAAGGCATACAAAGAAATAAGAAAACATGGCCCTATTTATTTTATTTTGGAATGGGATGTCTGACTTTTTTTTTTAATTGTTTGCGATTCATTGAGGGTACAAAGAATTTTAGGTTACACTGATTGCAGTTTGTTAGGTAAAGTCCCTCTTACATGGCCCAATTTAAATAAACAAAATAAATCAACAGAAATTGTTTTTGAGGAAGTCAAGACATTAGAGTTCCAGACAAAGACTTTAAAACAATTGTCTGAAATATGCTTAAAGAGCTAAAAGGAAACATGGGCAAAAAAACTAAAGGAAATTAGGAAAACAATATATGAACAAAATGGGACTATCAACAAAGAGACAGTAATTATAGAAGGAACCAAACAGAAATTCTGAAGCTAAAAACTATAAAACCCAAAATCAAACAAAAAAAATCACTAAAGGTGTTCAACAGTAAATTTGAGCAGGCAAAAGAAACAATTAGTAAACTTGAAGGTAAGACAAATGAAAACATTGAGTCTGAGGAGGATAAAGAGAAAAAAGAACAAAGATCAACACACACATTCTGAAAGTCTTTGAAAGAAGAGAGGAAAGAGCAGAGAGATTATTTGAATAGTGGCCAAAAATTTTCCAAATTTGATGAAATTCATGAATCCAAAAATCCAAGAATCCTAATGAATCTCAAGTAAGCTAAACCCAAAGAGAGCCACATTAGGATACATTTCAACCAAATTGTAGAAAGACAAAGATAATATCTTGAAGGGCGCAAGAGGGATGTAATTCATCACATACATGAGTTTTTCAATAATATTATCAGATAATTTCTCAGTAAAACCTTAAAAGCCAGAAGGCAATGGGATGATACATGGGTCATTATGATATTTTTGAGATACACAAAAATCAAGAAACGTAAAGTCCACATGGACAAAAACAAATGAAACCCTCCCAGTAACACCTATAAGCCCAGCACAGGTGAATCAGAAAGGATGCCTGTGGACTGTGTTTCATGGAAGTGAAATAATGGACCATAATACAGTTCTCAAAACTATCCTAGTGACCCATGTATATTTTAAGTGCTGAAAGAAAAAAATGTTTACTAGAATTCTGTATTTGCCAAGATTGTTCTTCAAAAGTGAGAGGAAATTAAGGCATTCCCAGATAAATAAAAGCTGAGGAAGCTCATTACCAGTAGGCCTGCTCTACAAAAAATGCTAAAGGGAGTCCTTCAGGTGGAAATGAAACAACACTAAATAGTAACTTGAAGCCAGATGAAGATATAAAAATCTCTGGTCTATTTAAATACATGAACAAATATAAAAGATAGTGGTATTATAATTTTGGTTTACTACTCCTCTTTTTATTTTCCAAAGAATTTAAAAGATTAATGCATAAAAAATAATTCTAACTCTATGTTAATGGATATACGATGGGTAAAGATATAATTTGTGGCATCAATAACATAAAGTGAGGAGGGTAATGGAACTGTGGAGGAACTAGAGTTTGGTATACAATTGAAGGTAAGTTGGTATCAATTCAAATTAGGTTGTTATAACTTTACATGCTATTTGTAATCCCCATGGTAACCACAAAGAAAATATCTGTAGAAAATATACAAAAAAAAAAAAAGAAAAGAAAAGAAAACATACAAAAGGAAATGAGAATAAAATCAAAACATGTCACCACAAAAAATCAGCTAAACATAAAATAAGGCAGTAATGGAAGAAACTACAGATCAAAAGCTATAAAATATACAGAAAATAAATAATAAAATGGCAAAAGTAAGTCCCCACTTAGCAATGTCTGTTAGCATGAGGTAACATCAGTGTTGACAGTGTAGGCTAAGCCTTCCAAAGGGAGTTCTTAAAAATAATTTTAAAAAGAAACCAAAACAAAAAACTCCCCCCCCACACACAAAAAAGCCAAGACCCAGATGGCTTTACTGATGAAGTCTGCTAAAAGTTAAAAGAAGAATTAACACTAACCCTTCACAAACTCTCCCAAAAAATAGAAGATGAGGAAACACTTTCCAACTCATTCTACACTGATACCAAAAAAAAAAGGCATCATATGAAAAGCAAATATCAGACCAATATCCATTTTGAATATAAAAGCAAAAGTCCTTAGTAGAAAACTAGGGATCCAAATTCATCAGCAAAAGGACCAAATGGGATTTCTCACAGGAATACAAGATTTGTTTAACTTACAAAAACCAGTCAACGTACTATACCATTTTAATGAAGGACAAACCACATGATCATCCCAATGGATACAGAAAAAGGCATTTGGCAAAATCCAACACCTCCTCATGATAAGAAAACACTCAACAAACTATAAATAGAAGGAAACTTTCCCAACTTATAAAGAGCATCTATAAAAACCCACAGCTAGATGGCGCCTGTGGCTTAAAGGTTAGGGCATGGGCCTCATATGCCAGAGATCGCAGGTTCAAACCCAGCCCCACCAAAAAAAAAAAAACTGCAAAAACCCACAGCTAACATCATAGTTAATGGTGAGAGACTAGATGTTTTCTCTTATGATCAGGAACAAGAAAAGGATGTCTGCTCTTACCATGTCTATTCAACATTGTACTGAAAGTTCTGGACAGATGCAAGAAAGAAAAATAAAAAGCATTCAAACTGGAAAGAAAGAAATAAAATTATATTTGCAGCTGACATGATCTTATATACAGAAAATCCTAAGGAATAAACCAAAAAATATAGTAGAACCAATAAACGAGTTCAACAAGGTGGCCAATTACTAGATCAACATACAAAAATCAGTTATATTTGTATACACTAATAATGAACAATCTTGAAATTAAGAAAGCAATTCCATTTACAATAGCATCAAAAAGAATAAAATATTTAGGAATAAATTTAACCAAAAAAATGTAAAATTTGTACACTAAAAAATAAAACAAATGAAGGAAAGACATTAATGAAGACCTAGATAATTGTAAAGATATCCCATCTTCATGGATTGAAAGATTTTATATTATGAAGATAACAATGTCCCTATCAAAATAACAGCTGACATATGGGGAGGGGGGAGGGAGAAGGGAGGAGGGAATGGGTGGAGGGAGGGGGTTTGGAGGGATCACTTCTGAGGTTTATCTTATGGGGTAAAGGTGAATCTTTCTAAGAGTAGAATGTGAACGTTTTGAAGCAATGACTGAGAAAATGACATGAAGGCTGTGTTGAGCAGTTTGATGGAAGTATTTCAGATTGCATGTGAAAACCCTACACTGTACCCCAGAAGGGCATTAATGTACATAGTTACCATTCAATTAAAAAAAAAAATAACAGCTGACTTCTCAGCAGAAATTGACAAGCTAATGCTAAAATTCATACGAAAACACAAGGAACCCAATAACCAAAACAATCTTGAAAAAGAATACAGTTGTAGGGTTCATTTTCTCAATTTCAAAACTTGTTATAAAGCTACAATAATCAAGACAGCATAGTATTGGCCTAAAGACAAAAATACAGATCAATGGATTAGAATTGAGAGTCCAGAAAAATACCTTACATTTATAGTGAACTGATACACAAGGATATTTTGATAAAGCTGTAATTTTAAAAGTAAATGGTTAAAAAAAAAAGAGTCTGAAAGAGTAGTGAGACTTTTTTTTTTTTTTTTTT